GAAGACTGAACTGTGTGACAATGTTGTATGTTACAGATGCAGGGGAAGACTGAACTGTGTGACAATGTTCTGTGTTACAGATGCAGGGGAAGACTGAACTGTGTGACAATGTTCTGTGTTACAGATGCAGGGGAAGACTGAACTGTGTGACAATGTTCTGTGTTACAGATGCAGGGGAAGACTGACTGTGTGACAAACTGTGTGACTGTGTGACAATGTTGTATGTTACAGATGCTGAACTGTGTGGGAAGACTGAACTGTGTGACAATGTTCTGTGTTACAGATGCAGGGAAGACTGAACTGTGTGACAATGTTGTATGTTACAGATGCAGGGGAAGACTGAACTGTGTGACAATGTTGTATGTTACAGATGCAGGGGAAGCCTGAACTGTGTGACAATGTTCTGTGTTACAGATGCAGGGGAAGCCTGAACTGTGTGACAATGTTGTATGTTACAGTTGCAGGGAAGACTGAACTGTGTGACAATGTTGTATGTTACAGATGCAGGGAAGACTGAACTGTGTGACAATGTTGTATGTTACAGATGCAGGGAAGACTGAACTGTGTGACAATGTTGTATGTTACAGATGCAGGGGAACTGAACTGTGTGACAAATGTTACAGATGCAGGGGAAGCCTGAACTGTGTGACAATGTTGTATGTTACAGATGCAGGGGAAGACTGAACTGTGTGACAATGTTGTATGTTACAGATGCAGGGGAAAGAACTGTGTGAACTGTGTGAACTGAATGTTGACTGTGTTGTTACAGATGCAGGGGAAGACTGAACTGTGTGACAATGTTCTGTGTTACAGATGCAGGGGAAGACTGAACTGTGTGACAATGTTGTATGTTACAGATGCAGGGGAAGACTGAACTGTGTGACAATGTTGTATGTTACAGATGCAGGGAAGACTGAACTGTGTGACAATGTTGTTGTGTGTTACAGATGCAGGGGAAGACTGAACTGTGTGACAATGTTGTATGTTACAGATGCAGGGGAAGACTGAACTGTGTGACAATGTTGTATGTTACAGATGCAGGGGAAGACTGAACTGTGTGACAATGTTGTATGTTACAGATGCAGGGGAAGACTGAACTGTGTGACAATGTTGTATGTTACAGATGCAGGGAAGACTGAACTGTGTGACAATGTTGTACTGTTACATGTTGATGCAGGGGAAGACTGAACTGTGTGACAATGTTGTATGTTACAGATGCAGGGGAAGACTGAACTGTGTGACAATGTTGTATGTTACAGATGCAGGGGAAGACTGAACTGTGTGACAATGTTGACAATGTTACAGATGCAGGGGAAGACTGAACTGTGTGACAATGTTGTATGTTACAGATGCAGGGGAAGCCTGAACTGTGTGACAATGTTGTATGTTACAGATGCAGGGGAAGACTGAACTGTGTGACAATGTTGTATGTTACAGATGCAGGGGAAGACTGAACTGTGTGACAATGTTGACTGTGTTACAGTTGCAGGGGAAGACTGAACTGTGTGACAATGTTCTGTGTTACAGATGCAGGGGAAGCCTGAACTGTGTGACAATGTTGTATGTTACAGATGCAGGGGAAGACTGAACTGTGTGACAATGTTCTGTGTTACAGATGCAGGGGAAGCCTGAACTGTGTGACAATGTTCTGTGTTACAGATGCAGGGGAAGCCTGAACTGTGTGACAATGTTGTATGTTACAGATGCAGGGGAAGACTGAACTGTGTGACAATGTTGTATGTTACAGATGCAGGGGAAGACTGAACTGTGTGACAATGTTGTATGTTACAGATGCAGGGGAAGACTGAACTGTGTGACAATGTTGTATGTTACAGATGCAGGGGAAGACTGAACTGTGTGACAATGTTGTATGTTACAGATGCAGGGGAAGACTGAACTGTGTGACAATGTTGTATGTTACAGTTGCAGGGGAAGCCTGAACTGTGTGACAATGTTCTGTGTTACAGATGCAGGGGAAGACTGAACTGTGTGACAATGTTCTGTGTTACAGATGCAGGGGAAGACTGAACTGTGTGACAATGTTGTATGTTACAGATGCAGGGGAAGACTGAACTGTGTGACAATGTTGTATGTTACAGATGCAGGGGAAGACTGAACTGTGTGACAATGTTCTGTGTTACAGATGCAGGGGAAGACTGAACTGTGTGACAATGTTGTATGTTACAGATGCAGGGGAAGGCCTGAACTGTGTGACAATGTTGTATGTTACAGTTGCAGGGGAAGACTGAACTGTGTGACAATGTTGTATGTTACAGATGCAGGGGAAGACTGAACTGTGTGACAATGTTGTATGTTACAGATGCAGGGGAAGACTGAACTGTGTGACAATGTTCTGTGTTACAGATGCAGGGGAAGACTGAACTGTGTGACAATGTTGTATGTTACAGATGCAGGGGAAGCCTGAACTGTGTGACAATGTTGTATGTTACAGATGCAGGGGAAGCCTGAACTGTGTGACAATGTTGTATGTTACAGATGCAGGGGAAGCCTGAACTGTGTGACAATGTTCTGTGTTACAGATGCAGGGGAAGACTGAACTGTGTGACAATGTTCTGTGTTACAGATGCAGGGGAAGACTGAACTGTGTGACAATGTTCTGTGTTACAGATGCAGGGGAAGCCTGAACTGTGTGACAATGTTGTATGTTACAGATGCAGGGGAAGCCTGAACTGTGTGACAATGTTCTGTGTTACAGATGCAGGGGAAGCCTGAACTGTGTGACAATGTTCTGTGTTACAGTTGCAGGGGAAGCCTGAACTGTGTGACAATGTTCTGTGTTACAGATGCAGGGGAAGCCTGAACTGTGTGACAATGTTCTGTGTTACAGATGCAGGGGAAGACTGAACTGTGTGACAATGTTCTGTGTTACAGTTGCAGGGGAAGCCTGAACTGTGTGACAATGTTGTATGTTACAGATGCAGGGGAAGCCTGAACTGTGTGACAATGTTGTATGTTACAGTTGCAGGGGAAGCCTGAACTGTGTGACAATGTTGTATGTTACAGATGCAGGGGAAGACTGAACTGTGTGACAATGTTGTATGTTACAGATGCAGGGGAAGACTGAACTGTGTGACAATGTTCTGTGTTACAGTTGCAGGGGAAGCCTGAACTGTGTGACAATGTTCTGTGTTACAGATGCAGGGGAAGCCTGAACTGTGTGACAATGTTCTGTGTTACAGATGCAGGGGAAGACTGAACTGTGTGACAATGTTCTGTGTTACAGATGCAGGGGAAGACTGAACTGTGTGACAATGTTCTGTGTTACAGTTGCAGGGGAAGACTGAACTGTGTGACAATGTTGTATGTTACAGATGCAGGGGAAGACTGAACTGTGTGACAATGTTGTATGTTACAGTTGCAGGGGAAGACTGAACTGTGTGACAATGTTGTATGTTACAGATGCAGGGGAAGACTGAACTGTGTGACAATGTTCTGTGTTACAGATGCAGGGGAAGACTGAACTGTGTGACAATGTTGTATGTTACAGTTGCAGGGGAAGCCTGAACTGTGTGACAATGTTCTGTGTTACAGATGCAGGGGAAGCCTGAACTGTGTGACAATGTTCTGTGTTACAGTTGCAGGGGAAGCCTGAACTGTGTGACAATGTTGTATGTTACAGATGCAGGGGAAGACTGAACTGTGTGACAATGTTGTATGTTACAGATGCAGGGGAAGACTGAACTGTGTGACAATGTTGTATGTTACAGTTGCAGGGGAAGCCTGAACTGTGTGACAATGTTGTGTGTTACAGATGCAGGGGAAGACTGAACTGTGTGACAATGTTGTATGTTACAGATGCAGGGGAAGACTGAACTGTGTGACAATGTTGTATGTTACAGATGCAGGGGAAGACTGAACTGTGTGACAATGTTGTATGTTACAGTTGCAGGGGAAGCCTGAACTGTGTGACAATGTTCTGTGTTACAGATGCAGGGGAAGACTGAACTGTGTGACAATGTTGTATGTTACAGTTGCAGGGGAAGCCTGAACTGTGTGACAATGTTGTATGTTACAGATGCAGGGGAAGACTGAACTGTGTGACAATGTTCTGTGTTACAGATGCAGGGGAAGCCTGAACTGTGTGACAATGTTGTATGTTACAGTTGCAGGGGAAGACTGAACTGTGTGACAATGTTCTGTGTTACAGATGCAGGGGAAGACTGAACTGTGTGACAATGTTGTATGTTACAGTTGCAGGGGAAGCCTGAACTGTGTGACAATGTTCTGTGTTACAGATGCAGGGGAAGACTGAACTGTGTGACAATGTTGTATGTTACAGATGCAGGGGAAGACTGAACTGTGTGACAATGTTGTATGTTACAGTTGCAGGGGAAGCCTGAACTGTGTGACAATGTTCTGTGTTACAGATGCAGGAAGACTGAACTGTGTGACAATGTTGTATGTTACAGTTGCAGGGGAAGCCTGAACTGTGTGACAATGTTCTGTGTTACAGATGCAGGGGAAGACTGAACTGTGTGACAATGTTGTATGTTACAGATGCAGGGAAGACTGAACTGTGTGACAATGTTGTATGTTACAGATGCAGGGGAAGACTGAACTGTGTGACAATGTTGTATGTTACAGATGCAGGGAAGACTGAACTGTGTGACAATGTTCTGTGTTACAGATGCAGGGGAAGACTGAACTGTGTGACAATGTTGTATGTTACAGTTGCAGGGGAAGACTGAACTGTGTGACAATGTTCTGTGTTACAGATGCAGGGGAAGACTGAACTGTGTGACAATGTTGTATGTTACAGATGCAGGGGAAGACTGAACTGTGTGACAATGTTCTATGTTACAGATGCAGGGGAAGACTGAACTGTGTGACAATGTTGTATGTTACAGATGCAGGGGAAGCCTGAACTGTGTGACAATGTTCTGTGTTACAGATGCAGGGGAAGACTGAACTGTGTGACAATGTTGTATGTTACAGATGCAGGGGAAGACTGAACTGTGTGACAATGTTGTATGTTACAGATGCAGGGGAAGACTGAACTTCCAACAGATGCTAAGGGCACTGGAGACGTCTTGTCACATTCATGTGAGTGGAAGATGTAAAATAAAGAGGATTTGGGGGTTCTTCAACAGATGCATGGTGTTATTTCTTTAAATGCCAATTATTTTATTTCAATATTTTTTAAATTCCAATTGATTATCTTGTTTGTCAAATGTTCATTCTCTTAAAATAAATACTGAAATATTCTGGACCAGTATCAACATTGGAGCTTCACACTGAGCCTGGTTCAATGACAAGACACTAAAATAGCTTTCCAGTCAAATTATACCATTCTTTCATGACTGAAATATGCAGTTTTCAACATTAGTACTTTGTGGCTGCCATCTCAAATAAAACTGTGAACATTGTGTATCATGAGAACTTTCTCACCTTTAACAGACAGGTTAACATCTTTTCCAGCAAAAGCTTAATTTATGGCAGTCTAATTATTCAGTTAAGTGTGCAAAGGGTTTGCAGATGAGAGGCTGTGATTTTGATAACACTGCTACATTATTCTTCATAAAGGAATGTCATTTGTTTGTTGATTTAAGCAACTTGAACTGCTGATAAATAAGATGGAAGCAGTGATTTTTCTCAGTGAAGCAACAGGGGCGAGTGGGTCCAGGTATTTTGGATACCATAACGGAGATATACTACCATGGATGTCTGATGATGGATGATCTCCTACCATGGCGTTTATGTTGTCACAGATACATCCGTGGACCTGTTGTATGGCGGCAAGTCTCTCCATGTCTCTCTCATCCCAAACCCATCACATCTGGAGGTACGTCCTAGAATGGGCTTGTCTTAGAATTTTATCATTTGATCAAACAAGTATAAAATCTGTCACTTGTATAATTGGCAGGACTAGGTTCTTTCCTGGAGGGCTCTTTTAGATGATGTTATAGCCAACTTCATTTGGACACACATTTGGACATTTTTCTACAATTTATTAACATTATACATTTTTACCTTGATTGTACCATCTTATTGCCCTTGCTCAACCTTTTCTGCTTAAAGTGTAATGAGGTATGTTAGTAGTGGAACTCAATGCATAAATTCTGTGTTTGCAATGTTATGTATTTGTAGCTTTGGAACTTTCCAAAATTTTCTCAAAGTGATAATTTTGAAATATCATCTAATCAAAAGCCTTTGGACCAATGAAGCTGAAACTCCAGATGCTTGGTCCTGACAATGTTAACACCTCAGTTTCTGCAGGATATTCAAATCAAATTTTCAATTACACCACAAAGGCAGCCATATTTAAAAATACTTTTATGTCCATTAGTTATGTTTTGTTAAAAATGTAATCATTTTGTGTTTAAATGACATTAGAATTTGAGTGTTGCTATTATTAATTTCTCAGTATTTCAAGCAGAAAATATTTGAATACAAATTCTGACAGCCAAATTTGGATAAATTGGCTCCTTTTTATGACATTTTCAACTCTTGACTACATGTTTAGGTGAGCTACAGTGCTTTTACCTCCAGTCTCTTGAGATATCTGTGAATGTAAATGAACAGACCAGGCCGAAAACGTTAACATTTGATGTATTGCAGGCCAACAACCCTGTGGCTGTAGGGAAGGCGAGGGCCAAGCAGTTGTATGCAGGGGAAGGGGACTATGCCCCAGGGGATGACGGTCAGGTGGGGGAGAAGGTTCTCTGTGTACAGGTGCATGGAGATGCCTCGTTTACTGCTCAGGTGAGTCAAACATGGTAGTGTCACAACACTGAGAAATTAACAATAGGAAAAGTTATGTTGCTAAAGACTATAAAACATATGTTATCAGGCAATGAATTATGAAATTAATTCAGTCCTCAAAAGTTGACATTTATGCCTGAATCTGATGTAATAAGGTACTGTCACATACAATACTTTGATGTTTGTGAGCTGCAGCTGGTGCATAAAAAAAGAATAATTTTATTAGTTTCATCATTGCATGGAATTCTATTGATAACCACCATGATCATGTGAACATGAGTGTATACAACACTATACAACAGGTATTACGTAATCATGACTGTATCCAGATGATCACTTTGGCACAATACAGGAGAAACCAGCTTCTAAATCTTCTATACAAAGACTTCAGCTAACACCATTAGCTATCCTTCAATAAAATCAATAAAAATAAATATTGTTTTTCTACAATACAACAGGAATTGCACAAACTGAAAGAACTTTTACCTCCTTAGTTCATTACTGGTTGACCCGTGAAGGTCCGGGATAGAATTGATCTTCAGTAACCCATGCTTGTCGTAACAGACGATCGGGTGGTCAGACTCTCTGACTGGTTGACACATGTCATCATATCCCAATTGTGTAGATCGATGTTCATGATGTTGATCTCTGGATTGTCTGGTCCAGACTCGATTATTTACAGACCGCCGCCATATAGCTGGAATATTGCTGAGTGCGGCGTAAAACTAAACTCACTCACTCATTACTGGGAACTTTAGATTCCCAGATTTCATGTAAATCAGCTGAGGAGTCATCTGAGTAGTCAGACTCATTGACTTGATTGCGAGACATTGTACCCAATGATGGGGATCAGTGCTACATTATCTGATTCACTGGGGATTCGCTGTGTGGAGTTTGTTGTCCATTAAGTTTATGACATAATGTATTGTGATGTATTCTTTTTGATCATATACTGAACAACATTAGAAACGCACCACACTAAAATGCACAGATGATGCTCAGATATCATGGGTACATTTCAGTCTGACGGGGATATTTCGTATTATATGGGTGGTGCGTTTCTAATGTTGTTCAGTATATATACATTGTATGTTATGCCTGTATTATACCCTTGGTCTACTGAAGCTTAACTGTAGAATCTTCATTATTGTTCTACAGATGTTGTGTACATGTTGTATTGCAGGGAATAGTGGCAGAAACATTTTGTATAGCTGAGTGTCCTCACTACCGCGTCGGCGGCAGCATTCACCTCATCGTCAACAACCAGATCGGCTTCACCACCGAGTCCTTACTGGGCAGGTACAGACATACACAGACTGACAATCTACCTCTGTGGAACAGACATGTTGCTTCAAGTACACGTATAAACTCTGTCTTCAACAAGCTGTAATTAGCAAAATAGATTACTTAGTAGATATTCATAAAATATTTAATCAATGCTAGAGGACAGGTATTTTACTTTTAATATTTATTTTGTTCAAGGCACCTATACTGTTGGTTAGGACGACATATGTGGTTGTTTGAAACCATGTGTATAAAGAAGGGACCTCCATTTTCCTCCTCTGTAGGTACAATACAAAGATACACTATGTTACTAATGTGTGGAGTCAGCAAAATGGGAGACATTGTTAGTTACATGATAAGGGGAATTACGTGAAACAAGGATAAAAATTTCATATATACTTTACTATTACGATAATATCTTTATCCACAGGTCATCCATATATGCCGGTGACCAGGCCAAGATCAATGGCTACCCAGTTCTCCACGTTAATGGCGATTCCCCAGAGGTGTGACACTTGCTAACATTACACTGTGGATACAGGCCACAGATCTCCATTGTCATGTACTGAAGTATTGGTCATACAGTAGATAACTGCATAAAAAGCATACTTTTACTTTGTTTTAAATATTTATGCATATATACAAGATGATTCGTATACAGATATGGCACCGGTTGGTTAATCATCACTGACTGAAAGTAAAATATCCAGTCTATTCTATCATGAGTTTTTCTTGTTTGCACTCACAATAGGTTTCTTTGCCAGGATGTTATAACAGCGACTTCTATAGCCATGGACTATCGACAGAGGTTCCATAAAGATGTCATCATCGATCTCATTTGTTTCCGCAAATGGGGTCACAATGAGTTAGACGACCCGACCTTCACGCAGCCGATCATGTATCATGCAATCAACTCTCGAAGCAGCATTCCAGACCTCTATGCTAAACAGCTGGTGGTAAGACAGGAGCAACTGGCATTACATATGTTCCTCTGTGTTTCCCCAATCCCATGAGTGGGTGGGTGAGTGGGTGGGTGAGTGGGGCAGGTGAGTGGGTGGGTGAGTGGGTGGGTGAGGCCGGCTGTCAAAGCAGAAGGGTTGGTTGGATGGGTAGTGAGTGATGTGATTGGAGGGGTGGACAGTCGGTCAGGCAGAGGGGTGGACAGTTGGTCAGGCAGAGGGTTGGTTGGATGGGTAGTGAGGCAGGTGGTTGGGTGGGTGGACAGTTGGTCAGGCAGAGGGGTGGACAGTTGGTCAGGCAGAGGGGTGGACAGTTGGTCAGGCAGAGGGGTGGTTGGATGGGTTGTGAGGCAGGTGGTTGGGTGGGTGGACAGTTGGTCAGGCAGAGGGTGGTTGGATGGGTAGTGAGGCAGGTGGTTGGGTGGGTGGACAGTCAGGTCAGGCAGAGGGTTGGTGGTTGGATGGTTGGGTGGGAGGCAGGTGGTTGGGTGGGTGGACAGTTGGTCAGGCAGCAGGGGTGGTTGGATGGGTTGTGAGGCAGGTGGTTGGGTGGGTGGACAGTTGGTCAGGCAGAGGGGTGGTTGGATGGGTAGTGAGGCAGGTGGTTGGGTGGGTGGACAGTCGGTCAGGCAGAGGGACGGACAGTTGGTCAGGCAGAGGGATGGACAGTTGGTCAGGCAGAGGGGTTGTTGGATGGGTTGTGAGGCAGGTGGTTGGGTGGGTGGACAGTTGGTCAGGCAGAGGGGTGGACAGTCGGTCAGGCAGAGGGGTGGTTGGATGGGTTGTGAGGCAGGTGGTTGGGTGGGTGGATAGTCAGTCAGGCAGAGGGTTGGTTGGATGGGTAGTGGTTGGATGGGTTGTAGAGGCAGGTGGTTGGGTGGGTGGACAGTTGGTCAGGCAGAGGGGTGGACAGTCGGTCAGGCAGAGGGGTGGACAGTTGGTCAGGCAGAGGGTTGGTTGGATGGGTAGTGAGGCAGGTGGTTGGGTGGGTGGACAGTCGGTCAGGCAGAGGGGGTGGACAGTTGGTCAGGGCAGCAGAGGACAGACAGTTGGTCAGGGCAGAGGGGGTGGACAGTCAGTCAGGCAGAGGGTGGCTGTTGGATGGAGTGGGTAAGTGAGGCAGGTGGTTGGGTGGGTGGACAGTTGGTCAGGCAGAGGGTTGGTTGGATGGGTAGTGAGGCAGGTGGTTGGGTGGGTGGACAGTCTGTCAGGCAGAAGGGTGGACAGTTGGTCAGGCAGAGGGGTGGACAGTTGGTCAGGCAGAGGGGAGGTTGGATGGGTTGTGAAGCAGGTGGTTGGATGGGTGGACAGTTGGTCAGGCAGAGGGTTGGTCAGATGGGTACTCAGGCAGCTTGTTTGGGACAGATGGGTAGGCAGGTGCACACAAATTCCTTCCTCCTGTTAATCATTCAAGAAATAGGCTGAAATGGTTCAGAATATGAACATTGCTTGTGCGATACTGAAGAATTTAAAGCTGGAAAAACATGCAAGACAGCAGAGTTACTTCCCTTGATTAGATATCTCTATGATAAGAAAAAGATGGTTGTATGAAACTGAAATTTATTATTTTGATCCAGGTGTACATAAAACATTTTCTTTTATAGCCAGACAGTAATTTGAAGAGCATCTGGATTTCAGGACAACGCGTTTTGTTGAGATATTTCTTAATAAGTCCAAAGTACTTTGTTTTTGATTGCATGAGGTTAATGAAAATAACCCATATGTTTATTATGTTGTTTTTTGTTTATATTAGTCTGAGGGTGTCTGTAGGAGTGAAGATCTAGACACAGTTGTACAGACATGGAACTCAGTGTTATCAGCTAACCTGGCCAAGGCAGACTCTTATGTTGTACAGGTAGGTGGTATTTGTAACCTACAAGGCAGAATTCTTGAACCAGTTATCAGATGTTTGGCATTTGTGGAATCAGCTAAATTCAGGATTTATAAAGGGGAACAATTTTTGTGGATAGATCCATTTCATCATACCAGCTTCTAAGTGCCACTTAACGAAGTGCATTTTTATATGGATGGGAATATTAAGGATATCGAAAGAAAACAAATTCATCTTCTCCAACACTCAAACTAACAAATTGTGGAAGTTCCAATATATAATTATCATGAGTGCTACATTCATTGTTTGATACCTCTCTCCACAAAGATCTGACAAATCATCTGCAGGACAGCATTCAAAACTATCATCAGTCCTTAGACCCGAAGCCGACTGAAAACCTTTCTGACCCACAGCTTTTGTTTTCTGCAGGTCCTTATGGCCGACAGCTTTTTCATCCAGAGTAACTAAGAATATTATGTTTTCAGAAAATATCATTTAGTAATTTCTGTTTGTTTATCTCGTTTTTATATTGTTGAGAAAGCAATTTAGATTACTGAGATATGATCTTTTAACCTTGAACAAGTTATCCGAATGCATTGCAAACTCCATACACTGACCGGGGTATTGCTTTCAGTTCATTTACAATGGTAGACGATATATGGTGGTGTGCAGAGTTTTGATATTGTGTTTCCTGTTAGTTTACTGTCAGAATGTGGCGAATTTTAGACGAGTCAGTCACTAGAGTTAAATTAAACTCTTTAACTCAGTTTGTTAGTTGTCACATTTTTTGTTTGCTGGGAATTACTTATATTGTAGCTTAAATATATAACCTACCCATTCTGATCAGTAACCACAATTTTTTTATGGTTTTGGGTCCTTAGGGTCTGCAGCTTTTGAGGGTTAAGGTCAAACACTGTGGCAGGAGGTAATGTCAGGTGAATTGTCTGATGTGACAGTTAGTGTGGAGGCTTCTGTATTCTTGGTCTGCTTCCTGTATCTTGCCATCATCCATAAACAGGAAGTTCCAAATGGAAAATAATAAAGGCCACATCCACGCTATTATATAGTGGAACATTTCATCACTCTGTTGCTTCTTGGAGCCAAGGCACACACAAACGGTAGTACTGTTGAAAGAATATTTGTGTTCTTTGTAGCTTTTCTTTTGTTGTAGTCAAATGTTGTTAATCAAGGTGGTAAGAGAAAACTGACATTTCATTGGCTACACAATTCCACACATTAATTGTTTAAATTTGGTCAGGGTTGATGTCATGTGACCTATGAAGAGTTTGTCTGATCGGTATATTGTCTCTGGTCTGATATTTGCATCAAGAGGTATCGGAATGAAAGGTGTAGTTTTTAAATACCCTCTCAGGACCCTAATTTTACTGTAGGGAATATATATTCATAAATGTGATTGTGTTCCCAGCCCAAGCATCTACAGAAGCAGTGGTCCCATCTGATACAGGCGTCGGACTCCGTCACGAACTGGGACACCGGAGTACGTGATGACGTCCTCAAGTTTGTCGGTGCCATGTCGGTACATATTCCAACAGATGTGGTAAGTAGACTTCTCTTGCAGTGGTCTATGTAAGGGTCTATGCTTGAAAATAATGTTTAAAATTAGCCATTTATATTGTGATAAGTGCTCAAATAACTGTTTTAGAATCATTGTTTTATGACCCTGCAAAATACGACTCAACTTACTAGGGGGCTGAAGGAGGAGGATTCAATGTGTACCTTGGATGATTCTGTGTCCTTGAGCCTCAGCAAAACAATCACTAAATTACTGGCACAGACATGATGAAATCGGGGTCATCTGGAAATACCTGAAACATGGTGCTCACCAAGGTGTCAAACAATATTCATTCATCTGACTGCAAAGTGCATTGAAGTTGTTTTCCAAGAAACAGTTCTCTGATAAGGTGATAAAGTGATAATTTGCACCAACTTCAGAATGTGCATCCAACCATCCAGAAGAGCCACATTGAGCGCCGACGGCAGAGGATGGTGGAGGGAGCAGACATGGACTGGTCAGCGGCTGAGGCCCTCGCCATGGGTTCACTCATCTATCAAGGTCAGCAGATTGATAAATATCTCAAACTGATATCTGTATATATCTTCCCATAGCTGTATTTGTACATCCATGGTTCTATCAGTGAGTACCCCGGGTTTCCACAGTGATAGTTTCTCTCTTTTACCACTGTCACCATTTTGTATCAGAATGGCTTCAAATGCTTAATATTGCCACTCTGAAAGTGAAACACATATGTTTGTTAACATTGCACAGAAAAAGACAGCTGATCTAACATGATGTATTATCAATGCTGTGTCTGTTTTGCCAAGCTGGATGCCAAGGATTTCTTAAATATGGAAATGAGAAAAATGTATTCAAGTCCTGTTCAATAAACTATTCATGATTTTTGGGTTCTATGAAGTTGACCAATCAGACTGCAGTGTCCAACTCCGTACATCTATAGTTTCATGTGAGATCTAAATACTTTGTGGACAGGTTACAATGTTCGAATTAGTGGTCAAGATGTCGGCCGGGCAACATTTAGTCACCGTCATGCCATGATCGTCGACCAGGAGAACGACAGCATCTACATCCCCCTGAACCAAATGACGGACACTCAGTCAGCTCACCTAGAGGTACGGTGGTGTATCCATCATTGGGACACACATTGTAATTTTACACACCTTGAGAACAATGCTAGCTTGGATCAGTCCAAAAGAAAACATTGCAGCCATATGTCTCTTTGATTTGGTTTGATCATTTCAATGTTTTGCTAACGATTTAGTTTGGTTTCTTGACATAAAAAAGTAACATGTTTGTTTGAAGCTTGTAGATTTATTAATATATATATATATGCATATTAATAAATGCTTATACTAAACCAGTACAGGATGGCGGGTATTGTTGTGTAACTTGTTACACTAGGAAGTTGAAGGAAGTCATGCCACTGACAAAACTGTTGGAACTTTCTCATGTTTAAATTTGAATCAATTATTATTTAGAATAAAATACAATTTGTTTAAGGAATACAGTTCGCTCTACCACCATGTATAGTGTAATAAAACACACTTTCGCCCAGAACTATTAAAGTTAAAGTACGAGGACGCTTGCATCTGAGTGCTTTAACGTTATAATAGTTCAGGGCAAAAGTGTGCTTTATTACACTATACATGGTGGTAGAGCGAACTGTAGTTCTTTTCTAAGATGCCAAATTTAGTACTTTCTAAGGATAATTACGATTAATTTAAGACAGAAAACAAATGATGTGTCGGTGACCTAAATTAAGAATCCTCGTGCAGGGCTAACTGGCGCGCTGTTCTATTGATGTGTCTGCCCCCTACGTTAAGACGAACGTTACCAGAAAAAAACAAATGAGAACAGTTTGATGATGGTTTACGTTCAGATTAAATATCTTCTCTGAATTATTTTAATTACATCTGTGATTAACGTAAACCCTATGGGGCAATATGGGGCAAAATACGTCGCATTTCTACTACCAACATAAGTCTAGATCAGTACATCCAGATGAAGCTGAGTAGTCAAGCGACATTCCACGATTGCATTGTGGGAATGTAAAGATTGCGAACGTTACCGTGTCGCTGAAAACTTGTGAGTTAAATTGACACATTTTAACCGTCGTAAAACATAAACGTAATGTTTCCACCAGTGATGTTAGCTGCATGAAGCAACTGCAAACCAAGAAACGGGATGCAACGGAGTATTTTACTGTAGGAGGCCGTACGCGAGGCGATGACAACTGACATGCATCGTGAGGGGGCACACTAGAATGGCGCAGTGATGGGATAACGTCATTCAATTGTTACCTCATCAAAAAACTATACCTTTATTGTCTGATAATGTATTTTTTTTCGATTGTTCTAACCGCTAGGCATCTTAGAAAATAGCATCACAACATACAATGACGTGTTTTCGTCCAATCTTTGTGTTGGTGATGGGCATTAAATGAAAATGGAAATAGAGCCTTCGTGTTTTGATATTTGGTGTAAGTGAGTTTGGTATGATGCATTAGTTCAAGTTTCTGTTTGTCATGTTTATGACACGTCCCAGGAAATATGTGATAGCATGACATGGGAAAACTTTAACCACTCTCTGGCTAATTCTTCTGTTCTGAACATAAATATTCTTTTAACTGTAACTGATTCCCTATTTCTGACTAATAGGATAGGTTGATCTGTTAATGAAGTTATGAAACATTAAATGACTGAGGACTAAGTACATGTATATTAACTTTCCTCCAGGTTGCTAACAGCGCTCTCACAGAGGAGGCGGTCCTCGGCTTTGAGTATGGCTTCAGTATAGAGAACCCCAATACACTGCCCATCTGGGAGGCCCAGTTCGGGGACTTCTTTAACGGAGCCCAGGCAATCATTGACACCTATATATCCAGTGGAGAAGGTTTATAGATGATTACATACTGTAGGTTGTCTTGTGAGAAGTGTATGAATAATTTCTGTTCACTTCAAAACATTCAAATTAAGTGAATATTAATCTGCCTGATTGTTTTGTTTTTCAAAATGAACTTTTTCATTTTCCTACAATCTATGTTTTGTGTCTGACAATTTATCTCTCTGATATCACTTTATCCATTTGCCTGTTAATGATACAATATCATGTCTTTGATCAAGCTTTTTCCACATTATCTCATCTGCCTATCCATCTATCTGTCTATCCACCTGTTTATCTATCCACCTATCTGTTTACCAATCTGTCTGCCTATCATACCTTCCTGTCTATGTGACCAATCTTCCATCATCATCATGTCCTCAGTCAGTTTATCTTTCTATCCAACCCCTCTGTCTGTCCATCCATCTGATCAAGTTGATCTTCATTCCATCCCTAAGGCCCCATCCCTCCCTCCATCTTTCAATCCCTCCACCCTTTCAACAGTCATCTATCCCTTGATGCTCCCTCCCTCAGTATAACATAAATCCTTCAAACCATCCCTCCATTAATTGTCCTTTTAAGCCTCCTCCCCACCTTTCTCCACTCTCTCTCCTCCCATCCATGCACCCTTCCTTAATCCATCCATCCAGACAGAACCACTCAGGTTGTTGATGTGCTCCACAGACAAGTGGTTGCTGCAGAGTGGTCTTGTGATGTTGCTGCCTCACGGCATGGACGGCGCTGGTCCTGAACACTCCTCCTGCCGCATTGAGAGGTTTCTACAGGTGGGTGGCATCACACAATGTTCAATGGGGGAAGAGTTGTTTGCAGAGTAGTGGACCTTTGTAGTGACAGGATTTGCTGTTTATCAGTTCAACAATTCAAAACCCATATATTTAAGAAATACAGTTCGCTCTACCACCATGTATAGTGTAATAAAGTATGAGGACGCTTGCGTCCGAGTGCTTTAACGTTATGATAGTTCAGGGCGAAAGTGGTAGAGCGAACTGTATTTCTTTTCTAAGATTCCAAATTTAATACTTTCTAAGGATAATTACGATTAATCTAAGGCAGAAAGAAATGACGTGTCAGTGACCTAAATTATGAATCCTCACACAGGGCTAACTAATGCGCTGTTCTATTGACGTGTCTGCCACCTACGTTAAGACGAACATAGTCAGAAAAACACATGATAAACAGTTTGATGACGGTTTACGTTAGGGTTAAATATCTTCTCTAAATTATTTTAATTACATCTGTGATTAACGTAAACTATATGGGGCAATATGAACGTTGCGATTGCATTGTGGGAATGTGAACATTGCAAACGTTAGCGTGTCATAAAATTGTCAGTCGAACTGAGACATTCTATCCGTCGGAAAACATAAACGTAATGTTTCCACCAGTGAAGCAACTGCAAACCAAGAAATGGGATGCAACGGAGTACTTTACTGTAGGAGGCTGTACGAGGCAATGACAACTGACATGCATCATGACGTCGGTTACATTGTGACGTAATGCAAAAGTTTTCGATTACGAGGGTGCAGACTAAAATGGCTCAGTGACGCCAATACATTGTGACGTAATGCAAAAAGTGCACATTATCATCCTATTTAGTACTGTCGGCGTCTTTGATCTTTCACTGAAGCATCTTAGAATCACTATTACAGTACTGGGTTTGTCAGTAGCATGTACCTGCCCATGATATATTGTCAGGACCTGTATCACCCACATGTTAAGTAGATGGGCTATGGTGCCAGTCAACTGCACCCTGAAGATGTCACTGAGGATGTAGCCAGGTCCATACGATGATTGTTGACCTTGAGAGGAGATCTCAACACGAACACTTGTTGTATCTTTGACAGATGTGCAGCAGCCAGGAGGACGGCATCGACGGCGACCATGTCAACTTCCAGGTGGCCAACCCCACAACACCAGCTCAGTATTTCCATCTCCTCCGCAGACAAGTGAGGCCTGCTGTAGTGTAGTCTCATTAGTGGCAGATCAGCTCTACTACAATACATGTCTGAGACTGAACTTAATCAGCCAGTCACCATCGGGCCATTGAAATGGTTCAGTACAGGCAAGCAAGAAAACAAACATGCAACAGTGAAGGCTGCGATGTGTGTGCTGTGAATGTACACCCTGTCATTTCTAAATGAGATGGCACCTACACCCCAAGGGTGTACTATTGAGTTGATATTGTTGTGTTCTGTGTGATTTGTCTTCCGAATTGGAGTGGTATAGCATTTAAACCAAGTGGTTTCAGAAAGGTGACATTTCATTGTCTTACATAGCCATGCATCCTCCAGTAAGATTCAAATTGTTCACTTAGCATTCACCAGAAGTGACATCCAAAGTTTTTTTTTATGATTTCCTGGATCTGACAGATTAAGTTTGGATTAATGGTTTTCCACATATATTTGTTGCCCAAATGATATTTCTACATTTTAACTGTACTAATACATTTAAGTGTTGACAAACATTTATCAAGGTGGTGAGCCCTCTTGATTTCTTCTGACATACATGCCTGTGTTCCATTTACGTTTAGATGGTCCGTAATTTCCGCAAACCTCTAGTCATGGTGGCGCCAAAAGTTCTCCTTCGACTCCCAGCAGCGACCTCATCTCTCTCTGACATGGCACCTGGCACCAGCTTTCTGCCTGTTCTTGCTGACCCTAAGGTCAAGGCTGACTCTGTGACAAAGGTCATATTTGTCTCCGGAAAGCACTACTACACATTGGTCAAGGAGCGAGAGACGAGAGGACTGAATAATGTTGCTGTAGTAAGACTAGAGGTAAGCTGTGTTTAGTAAACCCATATAGTAAGGCAAGAGGAAGGCTGTGTTCAGTAAACCAATATGGTAAGGCTAGAGGTAGACTGTGTTTAGTAAGCCCATATGGTAAGGCTAGAGGTAGACTGTGTTTAGTAAACCCATATGGTAAGGCTAGAGGTAGACTGTGTTTAGTAAGCCCATATGGTAAGGCTAGAGGTAGACTGTGTTTAGTAAACCCATATGGTAAGGCTAGAGGTAGACTGTTTAGTAAACCCATATGGTAAGGCTAGAGGTAGACTGTTTAGTAAACCCATATGGTAAGGCTAGAGGTAGACTGTTTAGTAAACCCATATGGTAAGGCTAGAGGTAGACTGTTTAGTAAACCCATATGGTAAGGCTAGAGGTAGACTGTTTAGTAAACCCATATGGTAAGGCTAGAGGTAGACTGTTTAGTAAACCCATATGGTAAGGCTAGAGGTAGGCTGTGTTTAGTAAGTAAACCCATATGGTAAGGCTAGAGGTAGGCTGTGTTTAGTAAACCCATATGGTAAGGCTAGAGGTAGGCTGTGTTTAGTAAACCCATATGGTACGGCTATAGGTAGACTGTGTTTAGTAAACCCATATGGTAAGGCTAGAGGTAGGCTGTGTTCAGTAAACCCATATGGTAAGGCTAGAGGTAGGCTGTGTTCAGTAAACCCATATGGTAAGGCTAGAGGTAGGCTGTGTTCAGCAAACCCATATGGTAAGCCTAGAGGTAGGCTGTGTTCAGTAAACCCATATGGTAAGCCTAGAGGTAGGCTGTGTTTAGTAAACCCATATGGTAAGGCTAGAGGTAGGCTGTGTTTAGTAAACCCATATGGACATTTTTATCATCCTCTATTGTCTAGGTTGTATATCTCTGGATAAATACCCTGGACGCATTCACCACAATAGCTCCATTTCAGGAGTCATCACCACCAAGCACAATTTATTTAACAGGCCATATTTTGGGGGGCATATTACATATCTTTTTACAGAAAAGAATTGTATATTATAAGTTGTTCACTGGTCTCGAAGGGGACATGGGCTGATGTACCCTCGATTCTTGTTTATGTTTGTTATGCTTGAACATAAAGAAACATCGAGGGTACATCAACCTATGGGCCCCAAGGGACAAGTGATCAACATATTTATCTTACTGAACACCTCACTAGTAATTTTGAACTGTTTGAAGCACGGGTATCGGATCATAGTATGGAGTACCAGACGACAAGAAAAACAACTTTAGAGTTAGCTCCCTTCCATCGATTTGCTTTTCCAAAACGTCGGTAATTTCCGTACATTATACGTGATTCAATGTTATTCGAAATAAAGAATTACTATTACAAAGTACCAAATGAGTTCGGCATTCCCAGCAGGGTACATAGAAAATGTTACTTGGTTGTAAGTGAGGTACATTGAAAATAATAGAAGAGCGCTCAGCCAATCAGAAAACGACATATATGTGTGAGGCAAGATAAATGATTAATGTGCATCATAAAATAATGTTAGCTTCACTGTAGTTTGAAATAGAAGTTGTATACTACTGCTCTGTCACTGACAATAAATCTCGCTCATCAAGTTTGTTTTTAATAAGTGTCCCACCAGTAAATAGCCTTTGTATATTTAAGACTGTCTTTGTTATAATCGCTTCAGAGTCTGTGTCCATTCCCTGCTGAAGAACTCAGGACTGAAATACAGAAATACTCAAAAGCAACAGGTTTGTACAAGAATATTGCAGAAACTAATGGAATCCAGAGCGAAATGTCATTATCTGCTCATCATTGTTTGACTGTTTGATCATCTACAGTGTGAATTAGCTGTGAGAGTGCTTCTACACTCTTCTCTCACTTTCTTGCAGGGTAGGTTGAAAAAGTTGTCCTCATTGAACACACCCAACAACCATGACTGTGAGGCTGAATTCCAGTTCACCAGAGTTGTTTTGTAGGGTAGACAGTATAGGGTAGACAGAATAGGAGATACAGTATAGGGTAGACAGTATAGGAGATACAGTATAGGGTAGACAGTATAGGAGATACAGTATAGGGTAGACAGTATAGGAGATACAGTATAGGGTAGACAGAATAGGAGATACAGTATAGGGTAGACAGTATAGGAGATACAGTATAGGGTAGACAGTATAGGAGATACAGTATAGGGTAGACAGTATAGGAGATACAGTATAGGGGGCAGACAGAATAGGAGATACAGTATAGGGTAGACAGTATAGGAGATACAGTATAGGGTAGACAGTATAGGAGATACAGTATAGGGTAGACAGTATAGGAGATACAGTATAGGGTAGACAGTATAGGAGATACAGTATAGGGTAGACAGAATAGGAGATACAGTATAGGGTAGACAGTATAGGAGATACAGTATAGGGTAGACAGTATAGGAGATACAGTATAGGGTAGACAGTATAGGAGATACAGTATAGGGTAGACAGTATAGGAGATACAGTATAGGGTAAACAGAATAGGAGATACAGTATAGGGTAGACAGTATAAGAGATACAGTATAGGGTAGACAGTATAGGAGATACAGTCTAGGATAGACAGTATAGGAGATACAGTCTAGGGTAGACAGTATAGGAGATACAGTATAGGGTAGACAGTATAGGAGATACAGTCTAGGGTAGACAGTATAGGAGATGCAGTCTAGGGTAGAGTATAGGAGATACAGTATAGGGTAGACAGTATAGGAGATACAGTATAGGGTAGACAGTATAGGAGATACAGTCTAGGGTAGACAGTATAGGAGATACAGTATAGGGCAGGCAGTATAAGTCAGGCAGTGTTGGGTAGACAGTATAGGTCAGGCAGTGTTGGGTAGACAAAATAGGAGATACAGTATCGGGTAGAAAGTACAGGGCAGGCAGTGTTGGGTGGACAGTATAGGGCAGGCAGTGTTGGGTAGATAGTATAGGATAGACAGTATTGGGTAGACAGTACAGGGCAGGCAGTGTTGGGTAGACAAAATCGGAGATACAGTATAGGGGAGAAAGTATAGGGCAGGCAGTGTTGGGTAGACAGTATAGGGCAGGCAGTGTTGGGTAGATAGTATAGGATAGACAGTATTGAGTAGACAGTATAGGGCAGGCAGTGTTGGGTAGACACAATCGGAGATACAGTATAGGGGAGAAAGTATAGGGCAGGCAGTGTTGGGTAGACAGTATAGGTCAGGCAGCATTGGGTAGACAGTATAGGTCAGGGAGTGTTGGAAGACAGTATAGGCTAGAAAGTATAGGTCAGGGAGAGTTGGGTAGAAAGTATAGGGCGGTATAGTGTTGGGTAGAAAGTATAGGGCAGGCAGTGTTGGGTAGATGGTATATAGCAGGCTAGAAAGCATAGGGCAGGCAGTGTTGGGTAGGCGGTATAGGCTAGAAAGTATAGGCTAGAAAGTATAGGGCAGGCAGTGTTGGGTTGAAACTATAGGGTAGACAGTATTGGTTAGACAATGTTCCTCTGTATCAGGAACTATTGATGTGACGTAGAGTAATTACCTGTCTATGTTCTGCAGAGTTTGTGTGGAGCCAGGAAGAGCACCGGAACATGGGAGCCTGGACCTTCGTGGCTCCTCGCTTCCAGAACATCGTTGGAGTCCAGGTAACACTAGCTTTATGTCTAAGGATATACAGTCAACACTACAGAAATAGCTGTTAGTGAGCCTCAACTATCAGAACTATACTGCTCAAAAGAAGATCTCACTAATGTGACCAAATAGTCCTAGGAGGGGATGGCCCTTATGCTGCATTATTATGCTGAATCATGTCTGTTTTAGTATCAAAATATTTTTCATGTAAATAATCAATTATCGAGTTGTGAATTTTTTTTTATATAACAATTTACTTCAGTATTGCTTTGAGGTTATGGTGGTATAAACGTACACATAAGCAAGGTGCACCATGAGTAAGTCTACTACTGTACACATGATATAATGCTTATACCTCTATACACTCAAAGACATGTGGTACGGAAATCATGAATGTTTCAATGTTGCTAAGTTGAGCTGTATACTCCACCCAGTAGACGAGTGTCCGGCATCTTGTGAATTATGTTGTGGTGGGTTCTTCAGGTAACAGGACCAGGGCCAAGTCACAGACATAGATTCTGCTGTATCTCACATACTTCCATCTCTGTCTTGTAGTTGAAGTATGCTGGCAGATGCAACCTTGGCGTGCCGGCAACTGGCATCGGAGAGATTCACAGACAGGAATCGACAGCCATCATTGACCAGACGTTCCAGTAGACGGCACCTTCTACCTTACTTAAACAGACAATTTACAGATCACTCCTTGATTGGAGTGCTTTAGGAATATTTTGTGGTTTACTCAGGGGGGGGGGATCCAACATGGTTCTTATCATACCGGGTGGTTGTGATAGCAGCACTGTCTGACCCATCCTGGAGGGCAGCCAATTGTTGTTTTGGGGGACAAAATGGCAGTTTGGATATAACGTTTTGTATGAGAGTGAAATATAGGGTTCATGTACATTAACTGATCTGAAATAGGCAATCTCTGACACAGAAATAGTTACTGGTCTGTGTCAGTTGTATCCCCAGCAGGGTTACACTATGTGAACGGCATTTTCTTTTCCTCTGCCGTATTGTGTTGGAATTGTCTCTTAACCTTGGTGCATATTGTTTGTTTTATAACAAAAGGAATGTAACTTTGTTTGTTTTGCTGATCATAAGTTCTTGTTTCTGTATTGACATTTGATTTCTGCAATGGCATTCTGACAGCTCCTGTTATGCAATTATACCTCATTGATTTGAAATTACTTCTCCAAACGCATTCAAGTCACAGTAATAAATGCTGGATTAATGAATATTTAAGTGTTTACACAGAGATATTCCATACAGGCTACGTAGTCCGTGTTAATGAGGTGACACTCTACAGAGTATGTGAATGTCTGTTATTGGTAGAATGAGGATATGACTCGACTCCTGTAAAGTTGAACTGCATTTAACCATCAGGGCTGACAAGGGCATTGCGATTCACTTCCCTGCTTGATTTGACTGCATCCATGACTGGGATTTACTTAAGTACCAGGCAATGTTGAAAAAAATGTTTTTGCTCTCAAAACAAGCTTTTAACACCGTATGATTTGATGGGATTAAATCTTCAAAATAGGGACATAGAAAGTTTGCAGTCTGCACTGATCAAATAATTCCTCACCCTGGAAGCCAAAGGGAGTACCTATGCTTATACACTGTGTTAGTTGGCTGGTTCGTCACTGGAGGAAATCTTTGTTGTTTTCACATAAAGGTGAGTAGGAAATAGGTCCATTTTGACCCAATTGAAATGAGAAATTCTCTACAGTTTCATCAAATTTTGAATTACTGGTATAAATATCAGAAATGTTCCAGTGGTTGACGACTATGTCCATGCATAAATTACAAATTAAATCAATTTTGGGTGGTGACCACATAAGATTTAATTTCATGCAACAAAATTTATTTGGGTGGATATATTTTTTGGTTTTTATTTGTTTATTCTGGAATATCTCTTGAACAATTGTTGAAAACAAAAGAAATAGCTTCCACTGAACTAAAGAATTTGGATGTCTGTGTTTTCTAGTTAATCAGAGTCTCCTGAATGAAATGAAAGTTGTCTATTAATAGACATATTATACCAATAAGTCTATTAAGGGACCGTTCATAATTTATGGCTTTAGGGGGGTGGAGAGAAATGATGATTTTTATGGAGAAGCATGTACAATGTGAATGACCCCCCCCATAAAATTTATGTACAAAGTAAATGACCCCCTGCATGTCATGTACAAAGTCAATGACCCCAACTCCCCCTTTCCATATGTTTAAAGCATAATTTTAAAATATTTATATGTACAAAATTGCTGACCCCCTGGAAACGCTGTACAAAATTGCCCTCCCAGAACAAAATATGACACCCCACCTGACCCCTTAAATCATCATCAACACACACACACACACACACACACACACACACACACACAGAGCCATAAATTAGGACCACTGACCTGAGCAGATTCATCACTAGTCAGACTTCGCACAAACTATACGTAGATGTCATACCCAGGTGAGATATATTTTAAATGTTTTTACCGAGTGTATATGATGCATTCAATAGTATCCCAGTGAATATACTGTATGTATGCCCATGCAGATCCAGGTGATGACGGCATGGTGTCTGTTGTATATATGCTCTGATTGAAAGTATATAGTGCTGTAATGACATGTGAATATTTATGTTGTTTTAACAGTTGCATGTTCAACTGTGATGAGAAATAGTTTACACAGAAATTATTGAAGTTAAATTAGTTGGTTATCCAGGGTATCTTTCATACAGTAATAGCGTATGACTTACACAAACAGGTCCACAAAGGTGTTTCTCTGATTGGGATCTTACTATTTTAGCAAATAAATCTGCTTATGAACTCAACTGAATTCTCTCTCTTTGATCTAGACTCAACCTTTCAACTCACTAATGGACATCTGCAATTTGCTATGCAGAGTTGCCTCCCTTAGCCATATCATGATCTGCACAGGTTAGCCTTGATGGCTTTTGGCACTATTTGGTTTATTCCAACTTTAAGAGTATGCACTGTGTATGATTGCAATACTTTTGGAAACAGCTAAGGTTGTCTGCTGCTGTGAGTTGTGCTGCATTCTGACTAGCCGGGAGTGACATGGCAGTGAGGTCTTCACAACAAAAGCGATGACTGTGTATTCTCCAACATCAGAGGATTTTACGAGACAAACCAATGTTCTTTGAACTATGACATGGCTTCATTACAACCTTGTTTAGAAACTGAAAGAAGAATCAGATTACATCAACATTCTAAGAACATTAATAGTTCATGTTCAATAGTCTTTTATACAGTACATGTTGTTACCTAGCACAACTGTAGTCCAACGGTTTAACAGAATGCAACTATCCTCTTTTTGTCATCTGGAAAATGGAATTGTGTCGACTAGATTTTAAACATCAAGTCGGATCATCTGAACACACACCAGCAGTGACCCTTGTATCCAACTCACAAGTTGTTTCATAACAGAACAGACAAGCAAACACAACACAAATCTGAGGCAGCTTTTGACTTTTGTTTAATAGGAAGACAATATACATGATCCTCTGTAGATGTTCCCCTGCAGACAGATGGGCAGACAGATCAAGGTAGAGACAATGACAGCGTTATCTCCATCAGCACTTCAAATGCAACATGGACACAGACGGGGGAGGGTGCAAATAAATAACACAAAGGTCATGGCAACATTCGTCTCTGTAGTAACCTGTTACTGAAATATCAGAAGGCCTACCAGAAAGGTGATCTGTGACAGATTTCAACAACTTTCTGTTCAATAAATAACTTCATGCTATTTCCCAATGCTTATTATCAATACATAGTTGTCTGTTCGATAAATATTTATGTCCTAAATTGATCAGTTGATATTTATTGCAAATTCTAGAAAAGTTCCATTCCAAGTTGACTTAAAATGAAGAGTAGAATAACTTCTGTTTCACCTAATTCTTACATGACCTTGACCTTTTGTTTGTCATTGTGATTTTAATAGGTCAGTATGACCTAGTGATAACATTTCACCAGTCTCTCCAGAACACAGGTAGATGGAATACAGTTTGAAATTATAACAGAAGTATGCATATCCCAACAAAGACAAAAGGCACTTAAATGCAGATAGGTATGATGAATAAAACATAGGCTAAAAACTGCAATCCTCATAGATGACGAAAGCATAAAGAAATGGCACGGGTTATAAGTCTGTTAACATCGGTGTTGGGTAGTAATCTGCATAATTGTCACAGGCAATTCATATTATGTTGCAAATATTAATAAATATTTACAAAAGGTCCTGTTATAGAAACAGAATCCATGTTGTGTTGTGACAGTGACAGATTGCCGAATCAGCATATTTTAGCTGTAACACTGCAGGAAAACACTGGCATAACCACGTGATAATGAATCATATACAATGATCAATGTTTATTGCGTTGATATATTTATTATATTATAAAGGTTGTGTATGATATAGGTAGGTACAGGCCAAAGTACAGCCCTAGTGATTGCTACCATCCACATTATCATAATTAGTCTAGAATAGCCCATAGCTAATATCATGAGGTATGTTTCATTGGAACTTCGTTAAGAGATCGAAGGAAATACGGCAAATGTCAGATGATTTGGTTTTATACAATACAAGCAGCCATGCTGTGAGTTTGTTAATATGATTGGACAATAAAAAGATGTTCGGCCCATTATTATGCGACAATGAGACAATCTATTTTTATTTCACTTTTGAATGAGTTTTCAACATTGAGTATTTATCAACTTCAACACAGTGGAGTAATCCGCACTTAATGATGGTGCCATTCCATTACAATCTTTTTTAACAGTTGAAAATTACAGTATTTCTTAGACGATTAAGAATACATTAGATGAAAATTAATTACTCTTAGAATCTGGATAACCAACAAATGAATAATTACGACAAATATTTCATTCAACTGACTGTACAAACCGGTTATGACAGCATGTATAATAATCACATGACCAGCGACATCATCATCATCATCATCAACATCATCACTCAGCACCAATGTAATTGCACCCCTTATAGTGACTGATGAATTCCTCAACACATGGGGTTGTCATGACAACTAATACATATTGGTTAATAAATCAAACCACTAATAAATACCTTGATAGACATATCAATTATCAATATTTATCATTAACAACATCTTGGCATCTTCAAACCAAGGATATTTTGCGATGTACTTCAACGTCCGATTTCCACAATAAAATATATTTTTAAGCACATTATGTACATAACGCTTTTACACAGTGTTCCATTCTTAATATTGAGGAAGTATATATACGTCTAATAGTGTCAGTTTATTATAGAACATGCCATATCAATCAGTTTCCATCACAGGAATATGCTGGTAGTATATGTAATTAACAATTATTTTGACAAACACTGAAATAGAACAACAGCCAAAAGAGAGAATTGTGATAGATGGTTATAGGGAAGCGGTATTTTAGATGATACTGGTTTCCTGTTATATATGACAGTCACTGGCCTAAATATACATCCAACGAGCACCCCTTGTAATGTGATAGATAAAGGCTGCGTCTTCAAATGGCTGTCCTCGTTTCGTGGATGCTCTCCCCTGCATCAGATAGTGTATAACCACACCAAACCAAACACCATATCACGTCCCTAACAAGATGTCATAACAATCTCAAGGCCATGAGAATGAACCTCAGGTCACACGTACATGTTTTACTGTTTACAGATCTTTGGGTTGGGTTGGGTTGATAAAAAAAATATAATAATTATTTTTTTAAATTTAAGCCTCTGATGATTAGCTGTTTTGGAGCAGATGGGCAAACAAAAATATATTTCAAGTATTTTTTTATTATCTCTTGGTGTCTGTTTTCTTTGTTCCAGTTACTAAAATCTGTAAACTGAAAACATACAGTGTGCCTGAACATGGGCTGGATGAGACCTCCATTAATCAATTTTATCCTGATCGCTCAGCGAGTTCCAAAGAGTCCCTATCAACCTTTGACGATTCCTTGTGACAAGGATCATCAGAGATGTCCTCTGATGTTTCCTGATGATCAGGCAGTGAGATGTCCTCAATACACACACCAAGTAATTTCTCAGCTTCTCAAAGCACCTACACACATTAGAAATGGCAATTCCATCGAATGTCACAAATTCTCAGTCCGATGTGTTCTACAGAACAAGCACTACAGTGTCAGTCTTCAGCAGAACTAGTGTTCCATCATCATCAAGCACTATGTTGAAAAGCTGTTCACGTTCTCCTACTTAGTGTTGAAACCCTGGGGCCATCCACCCCAGTCAAACACATCCTGACTCACAGACTCCCTTCTTCTTCTCTTGGAGAAAGGTCACAGTGTGGAAAACATATTTATTGATAAAAGTCGTCATCACACCACCACTATGGCATGAAGCATTATGGCTGTCGATATTAACAATTCAAGTTTAAATGTGGCACAGGACAGAGTCGTAGTATTTAGCTATGATACACTTAACAGATAATAATCTTATAATCTAAGACAAGGCCCTAAGCTTGCTTGGGACCAGCCTAGCAACAAACAAAACAACTATGACTGACAGCAGTGAACCTGGAGCGGTTGCCATGCCGACATGGACTTGTTGCTATGGCAACAGGCAGATTTCTGTTGTCATGGCAACCACTTCCATAAAGAGGCACTGTTATTGAATGGAGAGTTCTGACTGGCTGTGACAGCCTCAAGACCAGCCACCTGTCAACTTGTGGAATAGTTCCTGATTCAATGTTTGGTTCTTGTCCTGCGATCTCATTGACAGGAATATGTAGCCTCCGATGAACTCGTGGATAACTTTGCATGGAGTTCCTATTGACGAGAATGTGACTCGCTCTTCTTCGGAGTTGAGAATGACGTTTTCATTTTCCCAGTTGACGTGCCACGACTGGAGCGTGTTGTAGCGCCATGTCTTGATGGAGTCCCCGGTGTTGGGATCCATCCGGATTATCCTGTTGGAAGCGACACCAATCAACTCCTAAAACAAAGCAGATCCTAATGTCAAACTTTCATCGCAAGCCATGAAATCACTTTTCAAAACTGTTTCTTGTAGCAGTAACAATATTTTTTTTAATTATCAAGTTCATTTTTTTTTCAGTGAATGATTTATAACAGTGGCATAGTCAGATGAGAAAACACTTTGTCATCATAACTTCAAAAAGAAACAGAAAATGTCTGTTTCTGGTGACTTAATCCAAATCAAAATATTCGCCTTTTAATGAGTACAAAATACATTCAATAATTTTCTCAGTGTCAACAGTAAGGTTTTCTGGGATAATAGGTTTTCAAAGACATATGGGGCGGTGGGGTAGCCTAGTGGTTAAAGCGTTGGCTCGTCACGCCGAAGACCCGGGTTCGATTCCCCACATGGGCACAATGTGTTAAGCCCATTTCTGGTGTCCCCCGCCATGATATGGCTGGAATATTGCTAAAAGCGGCATAAAACTAAACTCAGTCAGTCAAAGACATATTATTTAGAATCCTGGACATTTTGAAACATTCTGAAGTTTGCGACGGAGTGTCCAGGTTATGGAGGGATACTGACCTCCTTTTTGCTGTTTGACATCTTGATGAGGAAGTAGGTGATACCATACTCTGGCAGTGCCTGCCATGCACGGATGTATGCCAGCTTGGCCTCGATGAGAGTCATGCCTTGGACATTGGTGTGTGCCTCCATAATCCTCTGTACCAGCTGCAAAACATGGTATACACGGTACTCCCAACATCAACTACAGGATCAACATCAACTACAGAATCAACATCTACATCCACACATAGAGGATCAACATCTACTACAGCATCAACTTCTGCTACAGTATCAACATCTCCTATAGCAATGTCAATATATCAATATAACATCTCCAACTACATCTCCTTATGTTTCTTCAACATCTCCCATGAAACATCAACATCACTATCTACATCAACATCTCATTCAAGAAACATTTCCTACAACAGCACCAACACAACTTACTACAACATTAATATCTCCGACCACATTTCTTCATGTATCATCAACATCTCCTATGAAAGCATCAACATCACTATCTACATCATCAACATCTCCTATGAAAGCATCAACATCACTATCTACATCATCAGCATCTCCAACCAAAGCATCTACAACAGCATCGATACCATCGTCTAAAATCATTCTAATAAGAAAGTGATCTTTACGGAACCACGAACAATGAAAGAGCACCAGGGCAGCTAAAGCAATCACAAACTATCTACTGTAAGTCAAAAAGGATACTCAACATTCCAACACTCTGAAAACAGGATGCCTCTAAGAAACAGTGAAGAATGCTATCAGAAACTCACCGATTTTGATTTGATTTTCTTGTAGAATCGTGGTGCTACAAAGTCTTCCGCCTGGATGTTGATCTCGTTGGCGGAGATGGTGGGGACTGTGGCAGGATGCTGCATGCTGAGGAAGGTCTGCAGAGCCTGGACCTCACTCTCGTACGAGCTGTCCATCATCGTCTTGCCCTTCGATGCCAACTTGCAGGCCGCCATCCACCTACAGTACTGCTCCTCCTGTGGACAGTTACATGACCAAATGATGAATTCTTCAATTTGGGGCAAAGCTATCAAAATAACTTCAGATATGACATGCGGAATATACAAATGAAGAGGATTTTTCTGACAGGACAGAGTGAAAGTTGCTTTACTTAAGTCAGTATCAATATCCATCCTTTAATAATCTTGTAGTAGCTATCCTCATTAATCTGTCACCATTTTCACAAGGGTCATAATTAACCATATTTCATAAATAGATTCATAATCTGCAACAAAAAAAACCCCTTTGAATAATTTCATACTGTGATGGTTTGTTATGATTACAAATTTTCAGGTGAAAAACTCCAAATAGGTTTTCATGAGAACTAAAAACTCTGATAATTACAGATTCAACTCACCAACTCAAACCTGAGGCAGACTTCCTGCATTCCGTCATGTTCTGGTACAAACAACTTGATGCCATATTTCTTAGAGGTAAGGTTGACATCGGGGTTACTTTCACACCCTGAAACAATTCAAATCAATTTGAATGTTTAACCAACACTAAGCACTAAATCTGCCACAAATCCCACAGATTCAAAACAGAGTTACCTCCCCTTGCCCATGCCGCGGTGTAAGTTAATCCCACTGTGTAGCCGTGTGTCTGTATCAGCTGTTCAAGTATGTTTGTGTGTACAGTGTGTCGGTCTGCCTGGGTGTGTGGCAATGGCGGCACACATGTGTCTGCCACATGCTTCCTGCTGCTTTACCCTTATGCTTGTAAGTCACTGAATGTTTTCAGGGAGCTGTTTAAAGGAAACCTGAAGTTCATGTCATGACTTGAAAATGACACAATATGCAATTTTGCAAGATGCTACATTACAATTACCGGTAGTTTTTTAATAAAGGGATAAACTATAACAATAATGTTGATGAGCTTTCAGAATAAAGAAGGATGCATCTATTTTAAACACCAAGAAAAGCTAGGTGTTAAAAGGTCACAATTACACATTCTTTCAGCAAACAGAGAAACTCAGACAATACTATTTATATCAAAATCAACACATTAACACAGTGATGAATTTAAGTTACATATTATATTATAAATATTCTCAGCAAGATCGTCCAGTAAAGATAGCAGGAACGAGCCTCAGGTATCATACCCCTGTTAGGCACTGAGATTAGAACTGGGAAGTGCCAAATTCTTGACTACTAGGCTACACCACTAGCCCAAATGGATTCAGGTCAATATGAAACATTGATGCAAATTATTAATGTTACTTCACGTAACTACAAGTAAACCAGTGTGGTGAAGCAGTACTTGTACCAGGTGTAAGTGATGAACACCTGGGTCTGAAGAGTGTTACATATAATGCCCCACCCCCTAAGGCCAGTGGGACCCTCCCTGTCTACCTAGTCACATGGTAACACTCAAATCAACAATCTGCTACATAGGCTCAGAGACTCAACTACTGACTGAGTGGAACATCCTTACTTCAACAGCAGTAAAGACAATTATAAGAAAATTTGCATACACATATTCTCAACATGACTGATATTTCATCCACACAATCTTATTCTACACTTAGTGAATCACATGACTGACGTATAAGTCCTTTTCTGTGGCAACATCAGTTTATAGGACCGTATTTCCAGAAGTGCTCTTTAAACATTTCCTTTATCAACTCATCATTCGACAAAACATTTCCTTTATCAACTCATCATTCCACAAAACATTTCCTTTATCAACTCATCATTCCACAAAACATTTCCTTTATCAACTCATCATTCCACAAAACATTTCCTTTATCGGCTCATCATTCCACAAAACATTTCCTTTATCGGCTCATCATTCCACAAAACATTTCCTTTATCAACTCATCATTCCACAAAACATTTCCTTTATCGACTCATCATTCCACAAAATATATAATTTATCAACTCATCATTCCACAAAACATTTCCTTTATCGACTCATCATTCCACAAAACATTTCCTTTATCGACTCATCATTCCACAAAATATATCCTTTATCAACTCATCATTCCACAAAACATTTCCTTTATCGGCTCATCATTCCACAAAACATTTCCTTTATCGGCTCATCATTCCACTTCCTTTATCGGCTCATCATTCCACAAAACATTTCCTTTATCAACTCATCATTCCACAAAACATTTCCTTTATCAACTCATCATTCCACAAAACATTTCCTTTATCAACTCATCATTCCACAAAACATTTCCTTTATCGACTCATCATTCCACAAAACATTTCCTTTATCAACTCATCATTCCACAAAACATTTCCTTTATCGACTCATCATTCCACAAAACATTTCCTTTATCAACTCATCATTCCACAAAACATTTCCTTTATCGGCTCATCATTCCACAAAACATTTCCTTTATCGGCTCATCATTCCACAAAATATATCCTTTATCAGCTCATCATTGCACAAAATATATCCTTTATCAGCTCATCATTGCACAAAACATTTCCTTTATCGACTCATCATTCCACAAAATATATCCTTTATCAGCTCATCATTGCACAAAACATTTCCTTTATCAACTCATCATTCCACAAAATATATCCTTTATCAGCTCATCATTGCACAAAACATTTCCTTTATCAACTCATCATTCCACAAAATATATCCTTTATCAGCTCATCATTGCACAAAATATATCCTTTATCAGCTCATCATTGCACAAAACATTTCCTTTATCGACTCATCATTCCACAAAACATTTCCTTTATCGACTCATCATTCCACAAAATATATCCTTTATCAACTCATCATTCCACAAAACATTTCCTTTATCGACTCATCATTCCACAAAACATTTCCTTTATCGACTCATCATTCCACAAAATATATCCTTTATCAACTCATCATTCCACAAAACATTTCCTTTATCGGCTCATCATTCCACAAAATATATCCTTTATCAGCTCATCATTCCACAAAACATTTCCTTTATCAACTCATCATTCCACAAAACATTTCCTTTATCAACTCATCATTCCACAAAACATTTCCTTTATCAACTCATCATTCCACAAAACATTTCCTTTATCGGCTCATCATTCCACAAAACATTTCCTTTATTGGCTCATCATTCCACAAAATATATCCTTTATCAGCTCATCATTGCACAAAATATATCCTTTATCAGCTCATCATTGCACAAAACATTTCCTTTATCGACTCATCATTCCACAAAATATATCCTTTATCAGCTCATCATTGCACAAAACATTTCCTTTATCGACTCATCATTCCACAAAATATATCCTTTATCAGCTCATCATTGCACAAAACATTTCCTTTATCGACTCATCATTCCACAAAATATATCCTTTATCAGCTCATCATTGCACAAAATATATCCTTTATCAGCTCATCATTGCACAAAACATTTCCTTTATCGACTCATCATTCCACAAAATATATCCTTTATCAGCTCATCATTGCACAAAACATTTCCTTTATCAACTCATCATTCCACAAAACATTTCCTTTATCGACTCATCATTCCACAAAACATTTCTTATTTTCATCTATCTAATTTGGTTCAACTTTTTCTCGCTATTTTCCACTTGAATCAAAAACAAGTATCACTTGAGCACTTGTTCCAGCTATCTACTGAAAGCCGAGTCCCCACTGCATGTTTATACCGTCTCCACACACAATATCCCTCTGCTTTCATACATGTTTCCATGACACCATCTCCAGCTGTTTCTCTTTATCCTACCACCATGTTCTCCCCTCCATGGCTGACATTTACCTCTCTCCCTGCCTCAGGAGACAACACATCACTAACACTATTTCCCTGCCTACTACCTCCACATAAACAGCCTCTCACGCCTACCACACAGATGGTCCAGCCCAGTGACAGAATTGCGGGCTCTTTCATGTAAGTAATCATTTAACCCACATCTTCAGGCTAATATTGTCCAGCTTGATCTGACGTAAAAAATGTGTCGATGAAGTAGGCGTGGTCATTTTGTTCTATAAACATCGCGTCCTGACATAACATGGCTGCCGCAGGTAACGCACATTGACTGTTTGCAGACACTGCTCACCTCTGACATTTATCCTCATGACTGGAGGGCCGTTGCTTTCTTCTTGGCTTCGGTAGAACACAATATGTGTGTCTTTGAATGTCGCCCAGTATCGCTTGTAACTTTTTAGCGTTATTCTCTTCGGCCTTGAAGAAAAACAATGAGTGAGTTAACAAGGGTACATTTTCAATGGTTTTGGACAACATGGGTTGAATTCCAATGATCAGTGGCTTCACTGAAATAATTTTCTGATATTAAAATACAATGTCATATTTGCAGTGATTTGAAAAATTATGCTCTTTCTTCAACAACACCTTCAGTAGCTGTACCAGAAAGTAACATAAAAATCTCGTCATAATCACTGGCAATGTCATACACACAAATTTGCTGAATCAAGACAGTATAATTACGTTTTGAACTTGTGTGTTTAAATTCAAATTTGTTCATGGTATGTCTGTGTTACTTAAATAAAATAGTGAAAAAAATAATAAAAATTCATTACTGCAAGTATATATCAAGTACCTCTCTCTACTGTTTTTTTTTTTGCAATAAAAGATGTGCTATCAGTGAACTAACAAGCGATATTCTTTATTGTGCTATACTTCATAGTTTGTACTCACTTTAGGAACTTGACATAGTCTCCAAGTTCTGGTATATGTGTGATATCACCGGCGTTGGACACAGAGGTTCCTTCCAGAGATTCCTGGAGGTCTTTGAGAGCAGCGTCAATGTCATCCTCCTCATTGTTCATTGTCTCGATGTCCGGCTGGGGCAGACCCGACTGCCGCTGAATCTGGAACTGTGAACAGAGGACAGTACAGGTAACGTCTGAATTGGTGCCTTTGAATTCTGGCTTGATTTTATCTGTATTAGAGCTTTCAATCATAGAAGATCCATGCTGCTTTAGTCTTGCCTTTCATATTTAGCAAACATGTCCAAGATTAACTGTACTCATTCCTTCGCTTCAAGCGAGACCGAAGGATGCTGATAAAGAGGTCAGATGATTACCTGTAGAGCAGCAAACATCATCATTTCTTCCTCTGTACACTCAATCTCCTCGGCCATCAGCGCCCACTTGGCCTGCTCATACACCTGGTTGATACGGATTGCATCGTACTGAAACAACAACACAACAGTTTGGGCAGGGTGACACAGATGGCATCATTACCAAACACCAGACAGCAGCAAGTAACAGTGATAATGACGAGAGAGAGAGAGAGAGACTGTGTCATCCCATCAAATATTAATAAATGAACTTCTATGAAAACGTTTCAAAACAGGTTAAACAAGTGTTTGCCACTGATATGGCAAAATAAACTGGTGTCTGCGTAATCACCCAATGTAGGCTGTCACTAAATATGTAATTTTTAGAGTAAAATTGATATTTTATACTTATCCTGACTCATGCTCTTTTTGCTTGTCTTCTTCTTCTTGCGAACATAGTGGAACACTTGTATCTCCCTAATTGAAGCTCCCTTCAATGTAAAATCACTAATTAGTACTCAGCACGAGTTACCTCCCTTCCACAAGCTCGGGAACGAGGGCGCCACCTCCACCCATGTGCCTCACTCTCTCCTCATATACTGAGCCCAACATTTGAATTTACAGGGAAATCCAAAGTGTTATGTGGGGAGGATGGGAGGGCTTACCTCATGAGTCAGGATAAGTATAAAATATCAATTTTACTCTAAAAATTACATATTTTTCCTTATCCTGACTCATGCTCTTTTTGCTTGTAGACTCCGACGGAAAGGGAGGTGGGAAATATATAATACTTTGGATTTTAATAATTAGTGATTTGAACTGTGATGATTGTAATAACCCTATGGGAACTTCATAAAGGCACTGAACTGATGAATTCCTGCTGCTAACTTATCAGCTGCCATATAAAGGTTATTACAAAGTACTTATTATGATAAAGTATATATAACATTAATACAATGCTTAAGACTAATAGACTTAAGCTTGTTAATATGCTAGTATAAACTCCTTAGAGTTTGTTAGCTAAAATACTTTAAGATATAAACATAGTACTAAGCTTAAGATATGATTAAACTTAAGCTAATTATATAATAGCAAAACTCTTTAGAGTTTGTTAGTTAATATACTTATATGATATAGATATAATGCTGAGCTTTAGATATGAATAAGCTTTAGCTACATATATAATAGCAAAACTCTGTAGAGTTTGTTAGCTAATATATTTTTACAATATGAGTATAGTACTGTGCTTAAGATATAATTAACTTAAGCTACATATATAATAGCCAAAACTCTGTAGAGTTTATTAGCTTATAGATTAATAATGTAACCATAGTACTAAGCTTAAGATAAGATTAGACTTAAGCTAAATGTATATAGCAAAAAAACTCCTTAGAGTTTATTAACTAATATACTTTTATGTTATAACCATAGTACTGAGCTTAAGATATAATTAAACTTAAGCTATATATATAATAGCAAAACTCCGTGGAGTTTTGTTAGCTAATACATTTTATAATGTAACCATACTGCTTAAGATATGATGAAACTTAAGCTAATTGTATAATAGCAAAAAAAACCTTTAGAGTTTGTTAGCTAAAATACTTATATGATATAAACCTAGTATTGAGTTTATGAAGGAACCTTAAGCTACATATATAATAGCAAAACTCCGTAGAGTTTGTTAGCTAATATACTTATATGATATAAACATAGTATTGAGCTTTGAAGGAAACTTTAAGCTACATATATAATAGCAAAAACTCCGTAGAGTTTGTTAGCTAATATACTTATATGATATAAACATAGTATTGAGCTTAAGATTTGAAGGAAACTTAAGCTACATATATATATAGCAAAACTCCGTGAGTTTTGTTAGCTAATACAAATTATAATGTAACCATAAAGCTTAAATTATGATGAAACTTAAGCCAAATATATAATAGCAAAAAACTCTTTTAGAGTTTTGATAGCTAAAATACCTATATAATATAAACATAGTACTGCGCTTAAGATATGAATAAGCTTAAGTTACATATAGCAAAAAACTCCGTAGAGTTTGTTAGCTAATACATGTTATAATGTAACCATATTGCTTAAGATATGATGAGACTTAAGCCAAATAGCAAAAACTCTTTAGAGTTTGTTAGCTAATATACTTATATGATATAAACATAGTACTGAGCTTAAGATATGAATAAGCTTAAGCTACCTATATAATAGCCCAAACTCTGTAGAGTTTGTTAGCTTATATATTTTTACAATCTGAGTATAGTACTATGCTTAAGATATAATTAAGTTAAGGTAAATATATAATAACCAACTCTGTAGAGTTGTTAACTTATATATATTGTATGATGTAATAATCATAGTACTGTGATGATAAAAAGAACTTAAGCAAATTATATATAGCATGTAGCTATTTAGTACTGTTATAAGATAAGTAGAAATCTGTAAGATTGACTTATCTTCTCCCTCGAGGAACTGTCAACTGTTGTGCGAGGACCATGGGATCGAATTGGTGGATACCTGAGACGCCCTCGGTGATGATATCTCTCAGATAATGGTTGGCAATCACCATATCGGATCTCCAGAAAATAAACCCTCCATTATTTCAAATAACATTGTGTAGATCAATGCAGAAGTTAAGCTTCTAATATCATGAGTATTAAAAGCTCATGGAGGGTCGGATTGGGTCCATCCGTCTTGTATGCACGTAGTATGACAGTTCTGATCCAAACGGAGATATAGTGCGTGATATTTCATTCTGCGTAAGTTGATGATAGAGGAAATAATCTGTTGTATTATTCCCTTCTGTTTGGTTCGGTGGAGATAAATTTACAGTGCTCTTGCTGGCCATCGTGATAGAATCATCGTATCATGAAGTCCAAGTATGTCATCCAGGCGTGTTCATAAACCTCACTTGTGAGGTGTAGGAGCACTATATTCAGATCCCCAAGTTGGAGGGTGAAACTTCCGTTTTAATTCTCCAATCAGAAAGTTTAAGTAGGTTTACTAACCATCTAGTTGTGTTAGTAGCTTGATTATGAAATTCAGCTGTAGTCTGAGACGCTGTGGATTTAGATCCACTTGTATCCCGTTGTCTAGGTTATTCGCTGCGAAGTCCTTGACGATGTAGGTGCACAACCAAGTGTGTCTGTCCTCGCTGAAGTTTATGTAAAATTGCCTGACTGCCGCGCCCTCGTCCCTAACTTGACAGGGGAGGTCTATAACCTGAAGAAAGCAGCCCAATCATGAAGGTTCAGATTAACTGGACTGTAAGGAGGCTTGCTCGCTCACTGATATATAGTTGTCACTTGTAACGTAAGTGTTGACCTGTGAACTAAGATCGACCTCTCGTGGAGGTCGCTGTCCAACGCCGTCCAATCAGAACAAGGCATTTTGATTCTGTAGAATACCCGCCGCTGTGATGTCACCGGTGTAGCAGGAAAAACCTTGTATAAAATCTTGCCGCCGCTGATATTAGCATAATCGTCGGTCTTCACCGTAGCTTCCCCGGGTTACCCGAAAGTGACCACGGTGTTCGAGGGTTAAAGGTAAACGCGAAACCTCCGGCCAAATACCTCGCTCTGTAATATTAATGCTGGGTAGGTTATTTTCCTGGCTGTCGTGAAAGTAAGTTCAGTTTTGAATATAATTCACTTTCTTATATAAAGGTACAATAAACTTGCAAGTTGTCAGCTTGTAGACTGTATACATGAATGTATCGCCATAATTGTAGAATTAAAGCTGAACTTGTTGTACATATTTCTTCTCAGAAACTTTGGCGATTATGAGTTATACTTTCGCTGTAACAAGGCTGCTGTTCAATTTCGATATTGAATTGTCTGCAGATCTCGCGTAATGGTCACGCATGTAGATAATCGTATCGTAGTCCGGGATTGCATATTCTAGCAATCTATAACGAAAGGTTGATTTCTGTGAAGATCTATGCAACGTCGTTGATTAATTAATATAGCGGCGTTCTGTGTTGTAAATAGCCTGTGCAATTGTCTTCGCCAGAGGCTTATAGGCGGCATATGGCATACAGTTGATAGACAACTTATGCGATGTCTTGAACGGACTGACGAAGTAGCTATATATGACGAGTGGCTAATATATGGAGACCTTGGAGGAGAATTCCTGGGTGGGCCTTCGAGATTTCGCTGAAGCTCGGTATCCAATCTAGATTTCCTGTGTGAGGTAGACTTGGAGCCACTTAGCCTTCGCGACCTTCGCGAAGGTATTGAGTCAGAGCCCGATCAGTATATATATTATATATGAGCTTGCTTCATGCGAATCCACCTCTGTGTTCAACAGGAGTGAGTGAGTGAGTGTATTGTTTTACGCGACTCAGCAATATGTGGGTCGGGTGAAGTGCTACTCCTCCGTGGCGTCCTTGTAACTGGTGAGGCTGTAGCTCCTTCGCCGAGGTGGCCTGGGACTTCCTTAGCGAAGTGTCTAGAAACCGATCAATATATGAGCGCTAGCTTCATACAGGTGTGGTTCTTGCTGGTTCTGCATAAGTAGAGCCGAAGTAGATCATCCTATCATCTTCAGAAGTCGTGTCACGAAATCTGGTGATAAGAATCTCATTGATCGTTCTAGATCTATTAATGCCAATAACATACGCCTCTGGCGCTTTGAACTGTTATGGCTTTATGGTAGGCTGTGTCAACATACTGTGGCACCGCAGAGCAATCGAAGTCGATTGGAGGTAAGGTGATGGCGTCTGCCTCGTCTTCCTTTATCAGGTATGTCTGCGCGAAGTTGCCACTCTTGGAAGGTGAAGAGAGATCTAGGTTGTTTACCATCCAATATCGTGATCTCAGCTCGCCTCTGAGAAAATGATGCCTCCATCATTTTCTATCCCAGCATCACTGATGAGAGGTTGATGCTCTTCTGATGGTGGACTGTGTATTTCTATCTCTATGTCGGGTGGCCGCCGGGGAGACCTGACTGTAGACTTGTGTGCAGACTTGTGTGGTGATGTACGAGGAGATCGGCGCGGTTAACGGCGCGGAGATCGTGTTGGTGAACTGCGTCTATGGGTTGACCTTCTCGGAGACCTGTGAGGAGAATGTTGATAGCTTCGCCGAAGCTCGTGTAGTCAGGTGTCCTTCGGCTGGCCTTCG